AGAAATGTCCTATCCACTGAATGCGTATAACTTAGCCAATATGCCTCATCCTTGACATGGAGTGATGATTGATTATTTTTGTAATGTAAATGCTTTTCCACAAGGAACATGACAAAGGCCAACTTATTTCACATAGACCTATGAATAGTCATCAATTGGTAATGATTTCCAGGAACTGCTGACCTGTGCCCATTATTTGGACAAATGGTATAGAGGTGAAAGGCTCTGTATCCTGTTTCCACTTCCCTAATCCAGGCGCATATAGTACCTTTGTTATATTTTTAGCAGTGGATTTTCTTTAAAGAAACATTGGCATGTTCATAAGGCGGGGAGGCCTTTTAATTTATTTACTTTTTGCCTGTTTTTTTGTTTCCTATGCACTGGACTTTCGGACTTTCTGCTACATCTTAACTTCTGGTGGGTAGACTTGATGAGGTTGGTTTTGAAAATGGGAATATACCTGAGAGAGAACAGAATTCAGGATGTACTGGATGTAAATCAAAGCATGGAAGGGGGTGTATAATCAAGGCTTAGTGAACTTCATTGCATCCTGGCATGGATTTTTGACATGATATATGCTGTAACAGCTTCTCTGGAGTAGCATGTACGTGTTCTAAAACAAATCATTCAGGTGTGATGTATCTTGCTCATCTGTATTGTGGAAGAGTTCACCAGCAGATCAGTAATATTTTTCTTTGTGTATGTGATCATTCATTTATTTTAATTATTAAAAAAAATTAGGATTTTAGGGTTTTTATTTTAAGATAAGCCTTTATCAGAGCTCTCTTTCTACTTTGTGGGCACACTTCTGGCTGCCATATTTTTCAGATTGTTCTATTATTTAATGCTCTTCAAACCTTAGTGTACCTTCACTATATTGTGGAATCTAGCTTGTATTTTCTGCTCTCATAATTTACATTAAGGCTCCAATACTTAAGGACATGTCTAAGCATGTGAGTAGTTCTATTGACTTCATTGAGACTACTCACATATTTAAATATCTCTCTGATTTGGCCCTTAGTCCCTAATTTCTCTTTTAGTTTAGCTATGTTCAGTTATTAATCTTTTGTTGGTTCCAGTATGAGGGATTGAAAAGTTTTCATTACACATGCTGTTAATATAAACTTTTTAATGTTTTAAAGTAATTGAAAACACTCTTAAGAAACATCTCTGTGTAACCTTCTTAAAAGAACATTAAGGATGCAAAATCAATATCAATCTCGGCAATTAGTGTATGCCAAAGTTACAGTTACATTGCCTCATGCTACCTTAATCTGGCCCTCATGCCTATGAAACATTTATAGCTTGCCCAGAATTACATAGGAAATCTGGCAAAGTCAGGAATAGAATTAATCTCTTTGGAGTCCCAGTCTAGCACCTTACACACAAGAGAATGTCTCACTGTCCATCCTAATGAGTAGGGGTAATGTACCATAAATAGTATATGGTCATGTAATTAATATATTCACACAAGGAGTCTGAATTAAGGTCTCCTAAATGGGGCAATCTTAATTCTGGAATTCCTGTCTTTTGAGTGGTAGCTACTTTGCATTCTTAATATTTTAACATAAATGTTTAACAATTCCTTTTTTTTGTAACTTGGCAGGTGCCCAATGCAGTTAATTGTTTAAGAGGGGGGTTCAGTTCCTCAATAAACCAGAAATGGAAGTGGATTAGAAGAAGGCATTTACTAAAAAAAGTGGGAAATAGGGTTGGTGTTCCTCATGTCTAATGCAATGGGAAGACAATCTCCTCTCCTCCTCCCCGCCTTAACCGTCAGATGAGCGGAGGATGGCAGGGTCTCTGCAGTGGTCCTGGGACAGATTAATGGAGTGGGGGCTTGATGATAGCCCTCCACCAGGTGGAATGATTACAAAGGATGCATGATCTGCACTGGACAAGTTATTGCTGGATAGTTCCCTGATGTGTTACTTAACAAAGTTGTGGCCTAGTTAAACCACATCCCAGGTGTCTTGTCTTGCCTGGGACAAGGAGTTGTGACCTTTAAAGTCTAATTGACACCATTTAAAATGTAACATTATTAATCACAGGCATTTTTTCAACTTTTTACCTTAAAGGAAGAAAAGAATAAAATAATTAAATATTTTTTAAATCTCGTCAATTTTATGTTGCACAATTACATGCTCCCTGAAACCACAAGAAGTCAGAAAATGCAAAAGTTAAAGTTCCAGCTACTGTATAATGTTAGATCAGCAGCATTATATGTACTTTCAGCCATATTCTCCACTTAAGGCAAGTGTGTGCTGATCTCCTGACAAAAATCTTCTGCAAAGCCAGCAAATCTGCTCATTGTAATATCCCTCCTAAATAATTATTAGGGAATTATTAGGTTGCCTAGCATCTTCTAAAGCAGTGGTTCTCAAACTATTGTACTGGTGACCCCTTTCTCTGAGTGCAACCCCCCCCCCCATTATAAATTAAAAACATTTGTTTATATATTTAACACCATTATAAATGCAGCAGGCAAAGCAGTGTTTGGGGTGGAGGCTGACAGCTCGCAACCCCCCCATGCAATAAGCTCGCGACCCTCAGAGAGGTCCCGACCCCCAGTTTGAGAACCCCTGTCCTAAAGTACCCTCTACCTTTCCTATGCCCTGTGGTGGCATGACGAGGGTGTCACTGCTTATCAGTGATCTCTAGCTGCCAGAATGATCCCTAGGGCCTGTTGGAAGCTGACACAGTTTAGAGTAGACGTTAGTCTGCTCTTATCCGTGCTGGGACACCTGCCCAGTGCTGAGCAGACCAAGGATCAGAGTACTGCCCTCCTCTCTGGTCTTCCATCAGATAGTCTGGCCCATGATATATTTGATTACTGTTTTTTCTGGTTAAACATATACATTACTTTAAATGTTTTTGTTGTAATCTATACAGTTGGTTTACGTTAACATTCCTGTCTTTTTAGGATTTGTATTATATTACAAAAGTACCTAAAGGCCCAATCACAATCAGAGCCTCATTGTGCTGGTCTCTCCAGAAACACATAATAAAAGATAGTTCCTGCCCTGAAGCACTGATGGTCTAAACAGATAAGATGGACAAACAGGAATAGACAAAAACTAATAGCCAAAGAAAAAAAAATTTGTTTTGCATGTATTATCTAATATACATGTATGTATTCTTTTCTTCGCAGCAGTTTTTTAAAATGTCCTTTGAGCATTTTTGATACATTATTTAGTTCTTATAGCCATTGGAGGTTGATACAAGATTTAGTGTGAAAAATAAAATCCCTATGTTTGAGGTCATATCATCATTGTACTCATTTTAACGTCTGTACGCCATCAGCATCTGAGACTGTAGGGAACTTAACTGCTTTACTGTTGGCATAATACCAAAGTTGATTTCAGTGAACCATAAACAGTTTGGCCCTGGAGGTAAAATTACACTGTATGCATGTTCCTAACATACTGCTTTGGGGATAAACATGTCTTAAATCAACTCATTGCTTAAAGCTAAGTTCCCTCTCCAAATGCAGTTTCCCTGTAGATGGTAATGTTTAGTGAGACTGATTTTCTTTAAAACCGTAAAGCTTTTTGAGTGTTTTTCTATCAATAAATATATTTGAGCAGGATAGCAAAAAATTCATGTAACCCTAGTAAAGACTTTTTTATGGCATTTTTGTTTTGTTTTTAATGAGCTTTCATCAATACATTGAATTCATTGAGATTCGTTTTAAATGTTTGTGTGCTACATCTGCTTACATGTATGTAATGAAAACTTTCAGATCTCACCAAAACTTTATTTGGTAATTGCACTTTTGGAAAATTAAAATTGAAATTTATTATGCCCTGGCTCCTACCTGCTCAGTTCATTATGTGTTTTTAAGATGCCATCACTTGGGAACTTTGTTACAACTATGTTTCTGCTGTGTTTTAATATGCTTTGGATTAGGATGGCTGTAATTGTGGCCTTGAGGGGTTGGACTAAGGAACACCAGGTGGGTTTGCACCCAGATATTCTTAGGTCTTATCCTGTACTTTAACTGTGGAATTTAAGTGTGGTTCCCTGAGTCTTAAAGAGGGAGGCAAACCCCATTTGAGCCTATTAATGAGCACCTTTCTCCCCCCCCCCCACACACACACTTTTTAATTTGCCATTTTTCTCTGCTTCTTTAGCCAATGAAATACAGGCACTTATTTCAGAACCATTTTTACAGTCCCATATGTACAAAAGAATTTTAGTTTGTCCCCAAATTTAACTCAAAAACTGATAATAGTGAGAAAGCTCTCCATTTCCCTATTATATGAAGGTGAAAATGGTTTCCCCTAGATATTAGGCAAGCTTTAGAAGTTAGAACAGCTTTTGTTAGATTTGGGGCAGTAAGGAAGAGACTCTTAATAATTAAGTGGATTTTTTTTTGGTGGATTTTTGAAATGATTCCCTTTGTTTCAGGCCTAAAAATTCAGCTTTTTTTCTACTTAGAGAATGCAGACCTACACCCCTCCCTCCACCTCCCTATGCTGGAGGGTGGTTCAGTTCTCTTCTTCTATTTAGAACACCTTTGACCTGCCCCTCCCCTGCTCAGTGAAATGCTTGTGCTCAGGATGACTAAAGGTTTTCCTCTCCATGTATCTCGTGAGGTGAACCTGCAGGGGAGAGGGTTTCAGGAATCCTGCTCATGGAAAAATGCTTTTAAAGTATTTCTTTGCAAACAAGAGCCTTTCTTATATCCCTGAGTATATATTAATTGGTCATAATCCTTAGTTTTGAGCTACATAATTATTCACACAGCAGCAGGTGGTAGAATCACAGGTACAGTTAGGATTTTTTTGTACTGAAAAGTAGCACATTCTGAGGGGAAGGGAGGGCCCTTTTTCATGAAGAAGTATATTCTGTAATTAGTTTTTTAGGGAAGAACACAGAGAGCAGATATACGCTCTGTTTAAAAGAGAAGCAGTGTGACTAGCCCACTTTTGTTAAGGCTTTTATGAATGGATGTGCAATTTCCACAAGTGCTTTAACTTCTGTTTTCTTTTTTGCAGATCATTACTAAATATGTCTATGAACTACTGGAAAAGGAATGCCACTTGAAAAAAGTAACTCTCCCAGTAAGTTGAATTTTTTTTCAAAGATGTTGATGTTTCCTTAACACTACAAAATGTACGAATAAAGAGAATCTCTTCCCTGAGGAGTTTGGAATCTAGATGTCAGATACAGATATGACAAACTGTGCTGAGGGCCCAGTCAAAGATGACTTGGACCACTGTATACACATGCAGCATGTTCATTCATACACAAAGAAATATGTAGAAAAATATCTGTCTATTTTTGTAATATATCTAATCTGTTTGGGTCTGAGTATATTTCATTGGGATCTATGTAGGGTGACCAGATGAGAGATGTGAAAAAAAAAACCAAAAAAAGAACCCCCAAGAGCTGGCGGTGGAGGGAAAAAAATCAAGAGCTGACAGAGCATAGGAAAAATTGGTGGGGGCTGACGTGGCAGCACTACGCCCCGCACCAGCTCACCTCCGCTCCGGCTCCATCTCCCCTGAACAGGCTGACGCGTCCTGCTTCTCCCCCCTCCCTCCAGCGCTTGTGCCGCCATACAGCTGATTAGTGCGAGCCTGGGAGGGAGGGGGGAGGAGAAGGAAGGCAGCGTGCTTGGGGAAGGGGCGGACCAGGGCGGGGATTTGGGGAGGGATCCATTGGGGGAAGGAGGGCGGGGCCAGGGCGGAGTTGGGGCGGGGGGGGCGCGAGCCAGAGGGCAATATATCAGTACAATTCCTGTCCCGACCGAACATTGGTCGGGACGCAGGACAAACAAGTAAATATCGGGATAGTCCCGATAGAATCGGGACATCTGGTCACCCTAGGTCTACTACACCTTTCTAGTCCTGGTAGGATTTGAGGTACCAGAAATTTAAAACTGTGTTACTTTTGGTATACAAAAACTATGCCATTTTGAAAATTGTTTATGGTTCCCCTGACACCTGTGCAGTTGGACTCAGAACTAAAGGCAAGGAAACAATGGTTGATTCTCTGTAACCTGAAGTCTTCAAATCAAGATTTGAAGATGTAGGTAACTCAGCCAGAGATTATGAGCCTATTACAGGAGTGGGTGGGTGAGGTTCTGTAGCCTGTGATATGCAGGAGATCAGACTAGATGATCATGATGGTCCCTTCTGGCCTTAAAGCCTATGAGTCTCTGGCTTTACAGGCAGAGGAATGGGAAAAAAATAGTCCCAATAAGATGTTTTAAAACTCTTTTAAAGACCCTCGTATAATAGCTTTTTTAGTAATGTGTGTATGCAATACATAAGTAATTAATCACCATTTGGGAGTAATGCAGCCATTCCGAAATTAAAAGATGTATAGTTGTACATACACTCCATACCACAATTACAATGTATTTTTACACTATAGGGGAAGAGAGTAGTGGCCCTAACACCTTTCATTATAAAAAGTTCTTGTGATCTTTGCTTTGAGAAGTTTTCATACATTCCCATTGTTTGCAGCAGGCTCTTGATATTCGGTAGGGGAATTCCTTTAGACTACAGAAATGACCCTCTTTGTCCCATGAGACTCCCTTCAGTTTTGGCTGAAATATAAAATATTTAAAATTACCATTACCTTCTCTCACTTACCGCTTCAGGAAATTGTTGGTAGCCTGCCAAAATCACTGAACATTCCAAGCCTGGGACTTGCTGCTGACACAGCAGCAAGAGCAGAAGACACTACACTGGGAACACTAAGCAGCTGTCAGAGGGGGAGAGAGAGCTGGACTGGGCTTCCTGCATCATGCAAGCCCCAGATGCAGCACTTGGAAAAAATAGTCTATTTACTCGCACCCACCTAGGGGCACCACATTGAATAGGTGCTCCTCTTGCTTCCAGACAGAGAGAGAGGTGCACTAGGCTCCCCACAACCACCTCTTGGCCCAGCGCTAGTGTTCTATATATACCCCACTTACTCCTGGAGAATCTGACTCTAGTGGTCTCCCCAACTCCCAGGCAAGGGAGAAGGGAGGGTTGAGAGAGTGGCCAGACTCCCCTCAACTAACCCCAGACTCGGCATGTGGCACCAGCAGCCAGTCCCTCCTCTGTGGGCAACACCTGGAGCAGGAGCTCCTTCAATACTGGGGGAGGGAAGAGAGAGCCAGACTGGGCAGGGCTCACCCCATTACCATCTTGTACCCCTCTTTACAAAAATACCTTTTCTTTGATGCCAGTGTTGGGTGAGAATGCCAGACACTCAAGTTTATTAATTCGAAACTTCATTGATCCAAAAGCATGCCTTGCGATTACAATTACTATTATAGTAAGAAATGAGACATACAGAAAAAGAAAGTGACCGGTTATCTTCTGGAGTGTATCCAGGTCATGGTGGATTGCTCTTACAATAATCCAACTGCCCCTTACAATTTACATAATTTTATATACATCCAAATTACATATTTATTAGTTCTCTTCCAGTCACCATTAAATATTATATGCCTTGTGCAACTCATACAATATGCATGCGTAGGCTTCAATTGGCATGACTTTTGCTGTCTATGCCATCTTCACGTTGTTATTTTTCTTTGTTAATTGGTTTATTACCACTGAGTATGCACTAACCAGACATAATTGACCAGGTCACTTTGACCCTTTGTTCTGCATAGGAGCTTTTGGGGACTTTCCTGTTTTTCTTTACTTGCCTTTTCCTTAATTGTGTATTGGCAGCACATCTTGTGTGTCTCTTGTCCTTCAATTTAAGCATAGTGGTCAAGACATCCTCTTTGTCCTATGCAGCAGTTATAAACAAACTTACTGAATAACAAGGTCATTAAGGCAACATTACACTCATGTCAAGCAAACTAGGCCAAAGACATCACAAATATAACCTTACTGTCCAAACTTATGTATCAGACACGATCATTAAAACATTTCTAACAACATTATCTGGCATTAAGTCCTGGACCTCTAGTAGGAACAGAGCTGAATGGAAGCTGAATGTTCATGGTTCAAGTCCTGATAATACACAATGGTGGGTTGGCAGTATGGCACATATTAGAATGAGTTTTTTACATTTTTCTTTTTAAATTAAAAAAAAACACACCAGGAAATTGCACATAAATGACTTGCATACAAAGAATATTATATTTACGTTGCAAAGTAAAGCACTCCAAAAGTAGAAAACTCTAAATTTACAATTGCCTGTGCAATCTCTGTTCAGTTCCCTCAAGTGTCTGCATTATGATAAAATCTACAATTACATGAGAACATGCAGTTTTTCTATAGGATTCCTGCCTCATTTAGTGAACAGGATGGACACACAAAGGGGCGGACTTAAAGTTACACTGGCAATCATAAATCTGATATTTCTTAACTTTTGATTACTTGACTTTCCAAGCTAAATAACATGCTTTTAACATCATTTTTAAAATATGTAAAATACAAGTATATAATGCAAAACTATATTAGTGCAATTCTAAGACTGCTCTGCTTAATAAAAAGTCAGGACATGAAGAAAAGTTAAGTTTCCAGCCACAACTTGGACAACTATGTCTATGTTGTACATCCTGTATGTTATATGGAATGCATTCTCTACCTGATTTTCAAAAAGCCAGTTTAGCAAATATGTGATGACAGTAGTTGCATATGAAAATTAGTACGATTACCCACATTCATCTTTGTATACCTGACTTTTTGAAAATCAAATCTGTAGAGAGGGGGAAAATTGTATTTCTAACTGTATGTATGTAGGTAGGTATTTATTTATTATGGTTAATACCTGTGGGCCAACCAAGAATGGGGCCCATGGTGCTAGTCAGAGTACAAACACACAATAAGAGAATCCCTGCCCTGAAGAGCATACAATAGATAACCAGAAAAGGCAGACAAAGGGTAGGGGGAAAAGATATAACATACAAACTGAGTGAACAATGCAATGCCTGAAAACATCATTTTGGTTCTGCTTTTTCTTTGTTTTGTTGTTTAAATTATTTCAAAGGGATTATGTCAGTAGATAAGCTAGATGGGAAGACAAAAGATGGGAGGAGGGTTGGAAATCACAAGAGGGGGCATGGGAGGGTTTGCAGCAACAGCTATCAGCAGAGTGAAAACTGAAGAAAGCAGAAACTAACATGATCACTGTCCTTCAGTCCCTGCTTAAACAGATTTCTGTAGCTGCTGTGTTGGGTTTGGTCTCTGGGTGGGGTTCCTACCTGTAGGTTCTTTCCTATAGACCATATAGCTGAGGGAATGGGCTGATGGTGTTTGGAAGAATTTTTAAACTTCTGTAATATACTTTAGGACTGTGTTAAGTGTTACTTTTTTTTTTTCCCAGTAGGATTTTAATAGTGTGCAGAAAATCCATGTGTCGGAAGTTCAGGGTGGCTGCACTTGAAGTTCTCTCATCTTTATTTTTGTTGTCTGAGTAACAGACAAAACTGTTGTTTTTCTTTCAATTTTTGGATTACATCTTCAGCAGCAGTATTATGCAATATTCTTTTCAGATGTAGACTCAATAGCAATAAGCAAAAAAAAAAAAATACAGTTCCTCTTCGAGTGATTGTCCATGCCACTTCAGGTGTGTGTGTGCCTAATGCAGCAGAGTTGGAGACTTTTCCTTTAGCGTTGCGTTACCCTTTGAGGCAGTGCATGCACCCTCTGCTGCCTTGTGCTGCTGTATGATAAAATGGGTGGAGCGGCCCCAGACATTTTCAGTTCCTTACTACTGCGATCAATAATTGGAGCATGTCCGCTTGCTTCTTCAAGTTTTCTCCCCTTACAGGGATTTTGTTTTTTCTTCTGTAAATAGTTGGTGCTGTTTGTTAGCAGAATTAGTTACTTAGATTAGTGTATGCTTCATTTGTTGGTTTTCTTCACTATTTTCATGAAGTGTCAGTTCTCTCTTGTTACGGGGTGCTGACATCTGGTATAGGCGTATACCTCAGGCTCTGGGATTTAAACCTTGTGCCAGCCATAAAAAATGTATGCCTCCTTCCACCTGCCTAAAGTGCCTCAGCAAGGGTCACGCTAAGGACCACTGACAAATTTGCAGAAACTAAGCACTGGATGAAGAAAGACAGAGAGACTGCCATATTTTTATGGAGACCGCCCTG